GAGTCAAGGGAATTGTAATAGATATGTATAATATTGGGGGGGAGTGGGGCGGCGGATTGGGGGAGGGGGGTATCACTTCGAGGGGTAAAAAGTATAATTATTGCACTGTGTTGTACAGCTGAAACTAATTTTTAAAAACGTGTATTTCACAATAAAAAAAGAAAGAAAGAAAAGAAAGAACTGTAAAACAGAAACAACGGCATTGTGTCAATAACACAACTATAGAGTCAGAGGGGGTTGATGAAAGGAAATCTAGTTTGGTTTCCTGTCTCACGCAACTAACATTTTGGAACGGCAGAAGTGGTCTTACTGGGAATAAGAAGAAAGAAGAAAGAAAAACCAAAAAGTCAAGGAAAAATTATTGAAAAAAGTACAGCATTTTCCTGTACAGCACAGGAAATACCTGTACAGCACAGGTATTCATATATTTAGAAAATCTTACTGAAGCCCAGAACGTTGGTGAGCATTTATCTTCCCCTGCAATACATTTAAGGTTTATCTGTGTTGGAAAATCCAATTTCAAAGCCTGAAGTCACTCAGGGTCTAACAACCATAAACATTTCCCAAACTCTATGAGATAAACTCTACTCAGTGTAAGCATCATTCCTGCACAAGTATTAAAATAGTCCCACAAAACAAAAGCTACTGCATTTGTATTTAAATATTATTAAAGTCTCCTTCCCCCAAAATAAAATGGTTTTGAGAGACAGAAATCAAATTGTCATTTATCTTCCTATTTTCTAGGGATAATGATGTATTCAAAATACCCTCATCCGGGCCGGCCGAGTGGTGCGATGGTTGAGAGCTGGCTTGGGACGCCGGAGGGCCCTGGTTCGGATCCCACATGTGAGGGCCAGTGACACTGCCCTCCACAGAAAAAAAAAATAAAAAATACCCTCATCCTGTTTAGGGTGGTTCTCATTTCTGCTTTTCAGCCCTAAGGTCAGCATTATGGTTTTGTTAGTGTGTGTTAGAATAGCAATTACTTTCAGATTCATTTGGTAGAATTACTTCTACAGTAAAGGGCATATAATAAAGCTTACACATTCACTTAACTTTGCAATACATTTTGAAGAGTTCTTTTCTTACCATATTGTACCAGGCACTAACAATATATTTTTCCTCCATCTCTCGCTGACTCTTCGTTTTCTCATACTCTTTCTAAAAAGCAAGCACATGAAAACATGTGAAGATGAAAAACAATTCAATATCAATAAAATAGTCACAATTAACTGTCTAAATTAATGTATACAGCTGCAAATAGAAAGACTTCTAGAAAAAAAAGAATAAAAAAATCAAGTATCTTATTGTATAGTACAATAAACTACCTCTAATGAATGGAAGAGTCGGTCCCGTTCCTGGAGCTGATTTTTAAGAGCTTGTATTTCTGGTGCCGCTCCTTGATTCTGTTTAGGATCTAAAGTACGGATAACCTGTAAAAAGTAATAAAAGAAAAAAATTAAAAGTCTCAAACTTAAGAAATGCAACATCTAAGGAAGCACTCATTTAAAAAAAAAGAAAAAAAAGGATAATCCTTACGAGAATCAAAAGCTAGCACAAGGATACTTTAAATTTTCAATGTATGAAATAATGTTCAATAGTTGCAAATTTTAATTATATAAAACTTTTTAATTATGTAAAAGAATCAATTATAAGAAGTAATCCTGGCTTAAAATTAACAAATGATACTACAGTAGACACTACTGACAGCTGTCTACACTTTTCCTTTCTTCTGATTTGGTTCAGCTAGCCCTTTATCTCTGACCAGATGTATACTTAGGAAGCGGGTACTGATGGTTTACAAGCCTATCACTGTGGCCCATCTCCTCTTCTGCCAGTGGCTCGGTATAGGCATGGGCAGGAGACGCAATTCTAGCTGGCCAACTAGAGCTCGTCTGGGAAAGGTCTGTTTGCTTTCTGGCCCAATATTTTTGCTATCAAAAATAACCAAACCTATAGAAAACTTGAAAGAGCAGAATAATAAAAACCCATTCCTTTTTAACCCAAATTCACCAATTGCTGCACTGCCACATTTGATTTCTCTCTCTCTACACACACACACACATAGGCCCACCCACCACGCTTGCTTGTTTGGGTGGCTAAATAAGCAATTTGCAGACCTCATGACACACAACCCTTAAATACTTCAACATGCATTCCCTTAAGACTAAGGACATTCTCCTACAATACCATTATCATCTGTAAGAAAATTAGTAATTTTACAAATCATCACTATTCGATCCAAATCTACATTTCCACAGGTGTCTCCAAAATGTCTTTTCTTTTTTTTTTATTGGGGAATTGGGGGATAGGAACAGCACTGGGGAATTGGGGGAAGGGGAACAGACAAGTTGCTGTCCTTTTGTTCTTCAGTCTAGTTGTGGAGGACGTTGCTTCACTGGCCCAAGTTGGCACCATCATTGCGCTCTTCCCGGGCGAGGCAGATCAGTTGCCGGCTTCTGGACGGCCGCTCACTGCGGCTGCTGGCCGCTCACGCTGGCTGCTGGCTACACACATGGTAGCCCATGGCAACCCACTGCCACAGGGGCTGCAGCCTACGCCATCGCCGGCGACTCACAGCAGCCCAGCTCCAGGTTGAGCTGTTGTTCAGCATCTTAGCTGTGGAGGGCAGTGTCACTGGCCCTCATATGTGGGATCCGAACCGGGGCCCTCTGGCATCCCAAGCCAGTTCTTAACCATTGTGCCACTCGGCCGGCCCCCAAAATGTCTTTTCTAACTGCCCCTTCTACCCACAATCCAGGACCCAAAGATGAATGCACTGTATTTGGTCCTTAGGTCCCTTTGGGCTTTAAAAAATTACAACAGCCTGTTCCTCCACACGCCAATGCCTATTTTGGTTTTCCGTAACATTCACTTTGATCCCAAATTCTGCATTTATCTGATGATTTCCTGAAGTCTTATTTAACTTGTTCCAATAACCTTATTTTCTGAGAACTGAAAGTTCTGTGGGTCTAGAAGATTGATTAGATTCAGGTTAAATATTACTGGCAATGATACTCCAGCAGGAGGCATTAGATGTTTGTTGTCCTACCATTAGTGCAGTTAATTCTGATTACTAGTTAAGGTGGTGACTGCCACTTATTTCCCACATAAAGGTACGTTTCCTCTTGGTACTTCTGCTCTTCTCCTGATAGCTCTCTGCGTGAGAAGTCCCTGTACCTGCAATTTGAGGAGTCAGTGAAACTTGATCAGGAAGTGGAGTGAGGTGCCCACAAATGCAGACTTACACTTTTGGCTTTCTCTAAGTATTTCTTATATCGTTCTTCCATTTGCTTCATTTCTTCTTCTTTCTTCCGTAAAGCTTCTTGTAATTCTTCAATTTTTAAGGCTGCAGATGAGACAGTAAAAAAATATATTTTAGATTGCAACAAGTTTAAAAATATTTCAACTAACAAAATAGTAAATAATTAATAGTTTTGAGAGATTGTTTGATCTATTCCTATAAATAATTTTATTTAAAAAAAACAAATTCATAATTTTTTTTTTTTGTTAATAAAAAGCTTTTCATGTAAACAGAAACTCTGGTATGGAAGTGCTTAAGATAAAAAGCATCCATTGATGGATGAATGGATCAAGAAAATGAGGTATATACACACAATCGAATATTATTCAGCCCTAATTCTCATATATGATATTGTATGTTTCCACTTATATGAGTTACCCAAAATAGTCATATTCAGAGAGACATAAAGTAGAATAGTGGTTGCCAGAAGCTAGGGAGAGGGAGGAATAGAGAGTTCTTGTTTAATGGGTATGGTTTCAGTTTGGGATGATGAAAAAGTTTTGGAAATGGATGATGGATGCACAACAATGTGAATGTACTTAATGCCAGTGAACTGAATTCCTAAAAATGGTTAAAATGGTCATTTTTATGTTTTGTATGTTTTATCACAATAAAAAAAGTAAAAGTCTCTGTCTTGCTCCCACTTCCACACAAAAGAGTTAATGAAGTCAAACTATTTACATGTGTAAATATCAACAGAAGTAAAAGTTTGGCTGACTTACATTCAATTACACTAAGAAAATAACAAACTTCATAAAATATTCATTAGCATTCATAGTTAAGGAAAAACTCACAACTATAATAGAAATTCAAGAAATACTATCAAGAATATAACACACGCTTTTTGTAAATAAAACAAATCTTTTAATTGCTAGACTAGGTAACAGAGCCTATTTCTAAAACACTTTCATATAAACTTATTACCACTAGGGTAATGAATGGCTACCCAACTGAAAACTATGCTAATTAGAAAAAACTCACAGCTGTTGTTAAATCTTGGTTCAAGATCTTCAATAATGGCTCTCTTCTTCTGCAGTTCGTTATTGGCTTCATGCAGCTTCTCTCTGTAACAAAATATATCACACTGCGTCACCTACTACTGTTTTATATTTTTTTAAATGTCAAATAAAAAATCTTAATTTTTAGAATACACTTGCATAGCACACAGTGCTATGAAACAAAGATGAAAAGACTAATCCAACAGAATTTAATGTATTTTTAAAATAAAATAGAGACAAAGACTTCAGAGGTTAAAATAATAGTCATTTCTTTTCCATAAATCTGCACATGAGGTAGAAAGAAGTTAATGATCTTTGTTTATTTCCTGGGAATAATGACACTATAAAAACGAAATCTAAAACTTTGCAGAGGTTTTACAATGCAAAATCTTATTGCAAAAAAGTGAAGTTCTAAAAATAAAAACAGAAGGAACACTACACCAATAAAAAAGAATAAATTAATGATACATGAGACCAGATGAGTAAATATCACAGAATGTTGAACAAGACAAGTCAGACTCAATAAGGTAATGCTGAATGATCACATTTATATGAAGTTCAGAAAGTGTCTAAACTAATGAAAAGTGACTGAGATCAGCACAGTGGCTACTTGGGGGATGTAATCAATCCATTAGAAGGGAGAACAAAGAATCCCGATGGGTTGCTAGAAATATTCTATACGTTATTCTGAGTTACCTATGTATATAGAAAAGCAGTCATCAAGCTGTAGATTTAGGAACTGAGGATTTATGTACTTTACTGTATTTAAGCTATATTCCAATACAAACGTAAAAAAAAAAATGAATGAACCAAAAGTAAGTTTTTCCTAGTATTTATATAATATTTGTAACATTTAGGGTAGCATTTAGGGTGGCACTCTATGAGAGGGAAAAGAGGCAACCAAAAATGGGAAATACAGAAAAACACTAATACAGCACTTTACTTTTTCTATTTCTGGTCTTTTCAATGTATAATACATTAATAAATCTTTTTCTTTTCAACAATTTATTTTTTGATGGACACACACATATACATATACACATACAAAATAAATATATACAGTTTAAATTAAAAAATTAAGCCCACTGAAGAAACAGATTAAAAAGCAGAAATTATCCCAGAACCATGTGTCCCTATCCCCTTCCCAGAGGTAACCAAAATTCAGAATTTTAATCATTTTCATGATTTTTATGATGGGCTTTTATATGTATCCCTAAACAACACATTGCTTAATTTTGCCCCGTTTTTACTTTATACATACATTACTTACACTGTATGTATTGTTCTGTGACTTCATCTTTTACTAACATGTTCTTAAGGTTCATCTATGTTGTTGTCAGCCCTAGGCTACACATTCTTCCTGCTGTATAATGTTCTATTGTTTAAATGTGCTCCATTCTATCATTTCACAATTGGTAGTATTTGTACTGTTTCTGCTTTTCTGTTACTACAATGTTCTTCCATACTTTCTTCTACTGGTATGCATGGAAAACAGCATCTCTGGGAATCTAGGGTTATATATAGGGGAGTGGAACTGATGGGTCACAGAATAAGTGCATGTTCAAGTTTACCAAATAAACTGCTATATACTCCTACCAGCAATGCATGAGAATTAACATTGGTCAACATCTTTGGCAATATTTAGTATGTCTGATTCTTAAATTTTATCAAGTTGGTGTGCGTATTGTACAATGGTCTCCATTGTTGTTTTAAGTCTGCATGAGAATGACCATCGTTTGAAATGTCTACGGGCCCTGTTGTGCACTGAATGAACTGTGTCTCCCAAACAGATATGGTAAAGTCCTAATCCATGATACCTATGAATATGACATTTGGAAATAGGGTCTTTGCAGATGTAATTAGTTAAGATAAATCACACTGGATCAGGGTGGGCCCTAAATCTAACGAGTGGTGCCCTTATAAGAAGGCCATAAGGAGACACAGAAACACAGACAGTAGAAGGCCATGTGAAGACGAAGACAGATATTGGAGTGACACATCTATAAGCCAAGGAACACCAAGGATTGCTGGCAGCTACCAGAAGATGGGTGAGGGGCAAGGAACAGGTTCTCCCTTAGAACTTCCAGAAGGAACCAATCCTGCTAACACCTTGATTTCAGACTTCTGGCCCCAAGAATGTTAGAGAATAAAATTCTATTGTTTTAGCCACCCAGTTAAGGTAATTTGTTACAGCAACCACAGGAAATGAATATAGGCCTCATCTTCACTAATAAAATTCTTTTTGATGATTAGTTTTACCATGTAAATGACTGAACACAGAAAAATGGTCAGGCTGTAGGTTTATGAAACAACAGGTATTATATTTTTTGCAACAAAGGAATGAAAGGTAAAAAAGGGTAGAATTCAGTACTAAATTCTGACTCTAGGTAAACTCACAATGGCTGGGAGGTAACATTTTCTGTTTTAGTACATTAAAAACCTGCCCATTGTTAGACTTGCCAGCAAGTGTCAGTTGCTAGGAGTATCTCACTTTCCTCACATTTAAAAAAATGGGCATGAGGTAAACTGTCAAGACTATAGAATTTCTTTCCAATCTTAGTAGAACAAGTCAAACTAATCACTGTGGTATTGAGCATATCCGGTTTACCATAATGTAACATTATAACATCCCAACAGGCTAGCAATTCATAGCCACCCTACACTCAATGTGTGCAAGGAGAGTTTTGTTACCTAGGAATGATTCCATTTGTTACTGAGTACTAGTTAAAAGCATGAAACATTCCTAACAATGTCAATCTCAGCTAAAGATAGATGGATGAAGATTTCTTCTTCATGAGAAAACAAATGTAGTATTTTAAAATTTGTTTCATCATTCAGATTAAAAGTCATGTTCAGATATGTCTGTAATTCAAGAAAATGTTTGAAAATCTGCCACAGGTAAACTTTATAATAAATTTAAAAATTTTACTTAAAAAGGAAGATTCTGTTGGCCATACACTAGAGCTGGCCAACTACACCCTATGGGCCAAATTCAGCCTGTCCTTGTTTTTGTAGTTTTATTGGAACACAGTCACAACATTAGTTTACGTATTATCTAAGGCTGCCTTCAAGCTACCACTACCGAGCTAAGTGGTTGTGACACACACCATGCTTTGCTATCTGGCCCTTTACAAAAAAAGGATTCTGACTCCTGATCTAGAGCATCTCAAATGCCTAACTATGATTATAAGTACTATCATGAAGATACAAAACCCTGGAATCTCATTTGAAAACAGTTCTAAAGCAGTCATTGTTCTGATTTGAGAGCCTTGGGTGGAGACAACCCTTTAGACACCATTACTATGTCTTATAATGTTCTGTATCTTCAAGTAACATGGGACACCCACGCCATTGCCCAGATACTCTATAATCACCTAAGGGAAAACACTATGTTTCAATATATAATATAAGAATGAATCTCAAAGCTTTTATACTTACAGATGTTCTTCAAGTTTCTTCTTTAGAAGAACAGACTGAAAATGGAAAAATAATAATTTACTACTTAACATTTTTACTAATAAATTATTTTCTAAAAAATAAGAGCATAGTAGTAACTAACTCTGAGTGAGCCCTCCGTAATCTCTCTGGTCAAAGAGCTCAAGACACACAATGCGCCCAAGTTTATTTCTCTTTGCTAAGGGAGAGAGCAGCTTATAAGTGATAGCAATCAGTATAAAATAGACAGAAACTACATATCTGAATTCTCTATTTATAGTCAGAATAAAATAAGCCATTTATGTAGAGACCTAGTATTCTTGGACTTGATAGGCAGGTAGAACTCTACAAATTATAGACTTTCGCTAAGATACTTTTCATATTGTTTTCCTTGCATCACAATAAAAAAAATTCCTTGGATTATAATAAACTCTGGGAACAATTTCCACAAATACTCACTGACTTAATCAGTGATTTACAACTATGCACACACTGGAAATAATTTATGCGATAAGTATGGGAACGTGAAGGATAGTACATGCACAAAACTTAATATGCTGGAGAACGCAGCTTTGATCTCCTGAAAAGCAGATCAGAACTGACCTAAAAATAAGCATAAAGAATAGTGGCATTCTATATAGGACCACTAGGTTTCATATTTAAACTTAACATACATATAATTATGGATTCTATGAAACATTTGTTTTGAGATAAATTATTACAAAATTAATTCAGTCAAACCTAATTAATATAGCCTTATAAAACAAATTGTTCAATCAATCAATAGCAGTGTGTGTGTGGGGGGAAATTCACACTAAGTTCTTCGATTTTAAGTCACTTCATTCAATAATGATTACTATAACTGTTTATTCAAGTCCATCCTAATACATCTCTGGAATATTTCAAATTCATTTCTTTGTTCAATATGCTAGCTCAATATAATAGGTAGACCAGTGGACCACAATGTCCTCTATCACTGTTTCCCCCAAATATAAAAAGATAATAACCCTACTAACTTCCAATCATTGCTTATTTATTCTTTAGTACAGAGGATAAAATGAAAATATTTTCTAAATACCTTAACTTTGATTTTGCACTTATGTTTTAATTAAGCTCTACAAAATTAATTTTAACTGAGATACTACATAATAAAATAATGATTTGATGAGTGGCTAAAATGCCAGGCACTGCACTAAAACATGTCATAGACATTGTCTCATGTTAACCTCACAACTCTTGAGTAATATTAGCCCATCTTACAGTTGAGGAAGGTAAGGCTGGGGAGACATTCAGTAGTTTTCCAGGGGCAGATACCCTTTAAGTGTCTTAGCGCCATAACGTGCATAAACCTATAAGGCAAGTACTCATTTTGCATAAAATTCCCATAATTTAAAATATTAATAACATCAACTATGATGGCAGATAATATACAAATAAAAAAACTGCTCAATATATAGAAATGAATAGGAAGCCATACTTACAATAGCCTTGAGCAGAAACCATGCCAAGAGACAGAGAGGACATATTAGTATGAAGCAAACACAGCAGCCAATAGAAGGAACGATTTAGTAATTCATGAACAGAAGCAAAAGATATGCAATTTTTTTTCAAAAATGTACAATTTTCTTTCTTCTATGGTCTCCTCATCCTGTCTTGTTCTCTGGAGTTTTATACACTGTGGCTAGCTCAAATTATCCATATGACTGGATATAACAATGCTTTTCTGCTTCCATGCTAAAAATAAATGACATAAGAATAATAATAAAAATGTGCAAACCATCCTACTCTGACTAAAGGTCACATGAAAGGGCTGTGCTTTTGTAACAGAAATAGATAGAAATTATGTTGTTGTTCAGAGGGGACCAATTCCACTCGACAGGTTGATCTACACATTACATATTCCTGAGATGCAACGCTGTAGGTTAGTGAGAGAGAGAAGGCAAAAACATCAAAAATCCACTGGGGGAAACAATCACATATTCTGTACTACACAATTTCTCTAAACCATTTTGAGGCATATCATCAGAATAAGCAAAGTTTCTAATTGAAGCTTTCTTTTTGTAGAAAAGAGCTCTCTGACAATTTCTGAGAATTTAGAGCAAGACATCTCACTGACATCTGGGCAGTCTAATTGATGCAAACAATACTTTATAGGGCTGGCATTTCACTTCTGAAGTATGTTCGCTTAAGGTAATGGCACATGGCATATTTAATTAGTGATTATATATGTGATACCTAACCAGGCTATGCAAAATTAATTTTTACAGAATAAATTCCTTTATGTGTGTTTTAATATAAGAGAATCCAGTGCACTGGTTATCTCTACAGCACTAAGGCTGAGCTGATACTGGTGTTTCGCCGTTTTTACTTCCTATCTACCACACACCCTCCCCTTCTTGACCACAACAAACCAACAAAAAGTCTCCTCAGCGTTTCAGAGACCAAAACAAAGTTACATTTACTTCAATTTAAGGGACCTCCAGATTTCACTGAACTAAGAAATGTTACCTACTTTGGTTCATCTCTAAGATACTCTTAGTTAGGATTACTAATATTTTAATACACTAATGGTGGTTTTGCTTCACCTCTTAGCATTCTGGATAAAAGTATATCTAAAAAGTAAACTATGACATTTCAAACTAGTTCCACTTTAATAAGGGAGTAAGGGTGTTTAAATGTCAGTGACAATTTTAGGAACTAAAAACCAATCTGGGAATCTAAGAACTACCAGCACTTTATAATTAAAATTAAAAGATAAACTAAAACCACTGCTGCCAATATTAGCTAGATGTATGTTTAAGAAACATAAAATTAGCTCACTGATGAGCTTTTTCTATTGACTACTTTCAGGTTTTAAGTAATATATACTATTTTAACTCCCTTTCTTTGATTCCTTTTTCTTTTTATATCCTCTTATATTAATAAGGCTGGATGAAACTGAATATATCTATAGTTTTGATGCTGATCCCCAAAATGACTATCAGTGGAAACAACCAAATAGGTTTATACTCAAAGGCCAGTTTATAGCAAATTACACTGGCAACAGAACAACAACAACAACAAAAATAACTCATTTGGCTGAAACAAAGATTGGTCACTAAAGGTAACTAATATACTATGCGCTACATAAGCACTGTGATGGATGTAAGCATGAGGAGATGAAGGAAGACCTAGTTCCTGGCTCAACAGATTTACTGTATTCTGGATTTGAGCATGCCAGTCTAGCAGGCAGGGCTATCATAGATATACAGAGTGTTAAAGAAAGACAAAAAAAAAGTCAGTGAACTTATATTTGAGTGTGTATTAGGGGTAGCAAGAGGGATTCAGAATTCAGAGAAGATGGGATTCTAGGGATGACATTATTTTTTTAAATATCAATTTTACATGAAAGATTTCTACTTGAACATGCTAAGTTTCTACCAGCACTTTTTTTTTTTTTGACCACAGGGAAAAGCCCTATGCTTTGCATACTCAATTGAGCACATTTAAAACACAAAACCTCAATTAATTCCTTAGCTGATAATGGCAAACAAACTTCTAATTCCCAGCAGAGTAAATCTGAGACAACAAAGTACTAACTGGCCCTTTTTATAAGGAATATTAATAAAAGGAAAACACTGTTTCTTTTCTATAGCCAATATAATTATAAATTACTTTGATAGAGATCATCAAATAAAAAAATAAAAGGTATAGCTTTTGTTAACATTGTGAAACTGTTGGACCATGGTTAGTCCATATTAAAACTTACATCTTCTGCTTTTGATCCTTGATCCTGCAAAGATTTTTGCAATTCTTCAACTTGTGACTGTACTTCCAGGAGTCTTTGATTCACCAGCCTAGAAATTAAATGTACATTAATTTTCCACATTCTGACTTAACTTATGCCTTTTTCCTTAGGTTGTCATTTGGTTACAGAAATGGTAAATTAGCAAAACAAAGCCTAATGTTACAGTAGGTAGCTCACTGATTATTTTTCATATTGCTTGACATTTCTATGATTATTTCCGATGTAGTGTTTTGTGCACACACTTTGTTAAACTGATGTACTTATTCATATCTATCTAAAATTCACTTCAACATGTTTATTCAAACTGTGTGTTAGACACTATGCTTAGCACTAGTGTTAAAAGATCGCTGCACTCAAGAAATTTAATGAGGAGGCAAAATGTAAAAAAATAAAATACGAGATAAACACTTTAACAGAGTACACAGATGTATACAAAAGGAATGATGCTGCTCAAAGAAGGAAGAATTACACCTAATTGTGTGAAGGAGTTGGGATAGGCTTGACTTAAACTGAGTCTAGAACAATAAACAAAATATTTCCATGGTTAGGGGTAAAAAGGGGATTCAAGATGGAGAATTCAGCATGTTCAAAGTGCACAGAAAAATGAGAGGGTACAGTAAGTTCAGGAATGGTACAGCTGAAAAATAAGTTATGAGGGGTAAGAATAGCTAGAGATGAATCCAGAGGAGAAAAAGGTTGGGTACAACTTTATGTGAAATGCAAAAGTATTTGGAACTTAACCTATAACCTGGCCTAAAATTTGGCTGAAACTGGAATAACCCAGCCAGCCTTTAACAATGCTGATTCTGGAGCTCGGTCTTCATAATTTCTCTAGAGGTCATTATGATACAAAATTCAGTAGGTCAGTTTGATGCCTAGGTCTTGGGTAATGTTGAGGATTGCAAGGGAGAAACATGACCAGGTGGTATTTTAGAAAGATCACATTGGTTTGAGTGTGGAAGATGTTATTAAAAAGTTCAAAGAGAAGGCATGAAGACTGGGAGGAGGCTATTACAATAATAACCAAATATGCCTGAAATAGAAGGGAACAGAGTAGGATATGTTTTGGAAAGGCAAAAGAATACAATGAATAAAAAATAACAGGATGTTGACTAGGAAGAATGTGAAGAAGAGTAGAAGGGGGACAAAGGTGGTCTGTGGCAGATCACCAACCACAGGGTTGAAAGAGAAACCTCACCCTGGTGAATAATCAGAGAATCAGAAGAAACATTAAAGAGCAGAGGGGTGTTAATGAAATTTTTTGAAAAAAAGGTTGAGGAAGGGGAAAACGATCAACAACAATGAATACAGCAGAGAGATGAGGAAAGATAAAATCTCGAATGCTCCCAATGGATTGGCCATTTAACAGATGACTGGTTATTTCACTAAGAAATGCTTTAGTGAAATGGTGGTAGTAAAAGCCAACTGCCCCAAATTAAGGACAAAAGAGGGCCATGAGTATTTAGAATCCAAACAGCCAGAAAATTCAATAAGACATTTGTTTTACTCAATAAGTTATCAGAAATTCTGATCATAAACCTAGGTTCTATAATTGAGTGACAATCACAGTAAAAATACAATCAAATCTATAAAAACTCATGTTTTTCATATCAGGAAAGAGAAAATCTGAGTGGTATTTCAATAGTTAAAGAATTCTCTGAAAAGTCCATATTCAATATGGAGAGAGAGGTACATAAATTCATTACTAGTGACACTGTAACTTTGTTCAATCTTTTCAGAAAGCAATATGGAAATATAGTATATCAAACTATAAGACTATTTCAACTATCCATCTTAGCCATTTTTGAAATTATTAAGTCAACAAATATTGCAAGCCTACTATGTGAGACCACTGCAAATGTGATAAAACATGAGCAGTCCATACCGAGATGTTCCTTGGAAAGATTTGAAAACAACTCAAAAGACCAGTGATGGGGAATGGACAAGCAAACATAGGAATATAACTGTTAAAGTATGAAGCATGTGCACACACACATACACAAATATGAAGCTATACAAATATATGTAAATATATATGAAAACAGTTCATCTGCAAAATAAATTAGGATTATAATGCCTTCCTCATGGGGCTGTTTAGAAGATTAAGTGAGATAATATATAGTGTGTCTAGCGCAGTGTCTGCACATAATAGGTACTCTATAAATGCCTCTACCTTCTTTCTCCTCCTGCAGGAGTTCAGTTAACTAACACTTGAATCAAGTCTAATTACACATAGTAGTCACTGGGGTGTAGGGGAAGGTGAGCTTGAGATCACAATATACTCTGAGACGTAAAGCAAAAAGATCATGTACGCTTTGAGAAAGCTCCTTGAGCAATTCTGATATGGTTCTCTTCTCAACCCTGTATGCCTCTCCTACTATTGTTTGATGGTCAGTAGGTATTAGATTAAAAAATGCTAACTTATTGGGAAAACCAGTTGGAAAGGACTTTGGAAGTTTACTACAAACTTTTCCTTCTGCCAGATGAAATATGGGTGGTGAGCAAATTCTATTTAAGGTCATACCGTTAACAGACTCAGTGGGACTAAAACTGAGGTTTCTTGGTTTATAGTCCAGTGTTGTAAACTACTAAGAGATTAAGCTAGAGACAAAGTAATATAAATACTTATAAAATTCAATAAGAACAAACTTAGGGTAATTCACTGAAGAGAATTACCGTCTTGTGAGAGGACAGAAAAAAAATAAATGTTTTACAAATATGGCAGAAGATAAATTGGCAAGAAAAAGACAGAGGCTTTGAAGTCATGTAGCTTGGGTCTAAGCCCAAATTCCCTCATTGGTAAAACTTTAATAAAGTAAGACTACATACTTAGCACAATGTTTGGAAAAAACAGGAGCTGAATAAATGTTAGCTGCTATTATTACTGTTATAGGTCACAGATGGCTACAATCTAAAGGTAAGTTATCATCAGTGTTGTAATTTAAGATACAAATACGATATTAAGTTGTAAACAGCTGTAAATAACATAGGGACTTGGGAGGTAATGAGTCATCTACATACATGAGTACTGTACGAATGACAACTAGCTGTTCTGTTTCTGATGAGAAAACAGCAATGGCTGTAAAGCCTGTGAGAAACAATGCAAAGCATTATAAAAGAAGTTGTGAGTGATGATTCACTAAAAAAAATTAGGGAGAAGGCTTCCCTGGCTAAGATGACAAAAATACAGCCCAGAGGCAAAGGATGAAGGAGATGAACACAAGATGCTCTCACCAAAGGAATGCATGATTGCCAGCTGTTTTCTACAATTCCCCTTCCTCCCCCTTCTCATTTTCCACTTTTTCTAAGTGTTTTTAAAAATATTCATTCTCGGGCCGGCCGAGTGGCTCAGTTGGTTAAGAGCTCTCTCTAAGAGTTTGAGCTCTGAGCAACAGCGGTTCGGTGCCTGGCCTGAGCTGAGCTGCCGCTGAGCTGCCAACAGGTGGCAGAATGGTTCAGCTAAAATAAATAAATAAATAAAAATATTCATTCTCTATGTTCTTAAGAATTGATATAAAATTTTTCTTCTTAGGTTTATGCTTAATTATGTTCTAATAATTGCTCTGGTATTTACACTGCTTGCTGATTCTACCCCAGCAGCTTTAAAAATTAGAGCTGTAGAAAGAAGAGAAGGGTACATGAAATTGTCATAACAATTTTGACTCACAAGATCGACTCACACCTGGGAAATGCCAAATCAATTAGGCATAATAAACAGAGAACCTGTAACATCAGGCAAACTATGAAACTATTAATAAAAATAACAAATCCCTCAAAAATGACAGACTATCACAGCACTAGGAAAAACAAAAAGACACCATATGTTTGGTATCTCAGAAACAGTACCCAAGAGGAAAAATAAACCAACAAATTGTCACAACAAAACAAAAGTAATTCTTGCCAGAGTAAGCTACTGCTTTTAAAGTAGCTTTCAATGACTGCACAATGTAAAACGCTGAAAACTTAAGAGCAGAAAAGTGATTTTCTTGTGAAATTTGCAGACTCTAAATCTCAAAATAATTGTTCACAGATGAATGATTTCATTTTAGGGTCACAAAAGAAATACAGTACTTTGTTTTTGTTTTTAAAAGCTCTGTTAATTCAATTATGATGGATCTTACTGTTTTCCTCATGCCAAATGATCTTTTGAAACATTAGTTCATAAAAACAGAGTAAACTTTATTAATCTGAAAATGGCTATGAATTGAAATTGTTCTGTGAATTATGGTTTTTTTTTAATCCTCTAATTTTAATTAGTGATTAGAAAGGGAAAACGGCAGGGCTTTGAATCATTTTGCTTGAAAAACTAAAGAGGGAAATGTTAAATTTATTATAAAGAGGCACAATACTCTTTCACAAGTCTGTCCATAAATAGAGAAATGGATTAAAATATTCTTACAGGAAATGGAATAACATATCATCACTTTTCAAAATACAATTCACACCTTTGTTTAAGGGAATCAAAATCAAATCAAATAGAGAAAAGCTGTGATTAAATGCAGTTGCCTATATACATTCCTACCTATTCTCTGTCTCCAGTTCATTCTTGCGTAGATTTGCATCATCTAGAAGGCTCTGCAATAAGGCAATTTTTTCATTGTCTGAACCCTCTTGGTTAAGTTTTAACATCTTATTCTCATGCTGAAGACGAATAAGTTTCTCCCTAAATGAGCAAAAGAAAAACTGATTATCTGATATATTAAAACCATGTAGTTATCAAATCCAGCTATGCATACTTGCAGATTTAATACATAAAACAGAAATGAAAAACAAAGTACCTGCAAAGAATGTAGCTCCTGTTGTAACTGGCTAAGATATTATATCAGGTCTTAAGCACTTTCTTTTTAGAATGGATAATCTAAAGATAACAAACTCTCCAAATATGATTTCTAGTGAAAGAGATTTCAAAATCCTACTTCCTTTCTGATTTAAATATTTAAGCTATGAATGCATTTAGATACTAGTTCATCAAAAAAACAATCTCTAATGTTATGCTTTTAAATGACTAATCACTTGATGGCAAGATATAATATTCAACGAAGAATGTCTTCAAGATATTCAGTCCACCCATTCATATATTGGATTGTGGGAAAAGTCATGATGTATTTTGTCTGTTTTTCAAACGTCATTTATTTATATAAAGAACAAAGATCAATCAATGATATATTGCCCATTTTGTTAGATAACCTTTTTGCCATCTTTCCGTGAGCTTCATAATTCCTCGTTCATAGAAGGACCTATCTTTATTTGCGAAAAACTGAACAAGGTGCTGATTTACAGCCTCATCTGAATTGAACGTTATACCACGCAAGGAGTTTTGAAGACAGCGAGACAAGTGTAAGTCTGACGGCGCAAGGTCAGGCGAGTATGGTGGGTGTGGCAACACATCCCATCCAAGCTTTAATAATTTTTGACGGGTGATCAAATTTGTGTGTGGTCTCACGTTGTCACGATGGGACACAACTCCTTTACAATTAACAAGCTCTGGATGTTTCTGGATGATGGATTCGTTCAAACTGTCCAGTTGCCAACAGTACACATTTGAATTTATTGTTTGGTTCCTTGGTAGGAGCTCGAAAAACATGACTCCTTTAAAATCCCACCACACTGAGAGCATAACCTTCCTTTGATGAATGTCTGCTTTTGATGTCGTTTGAGGTGAATCATCATGTTGGGACCAAGACCGTTTGCGACTACATTGTTGTAAACAATCCACTTCTCATCACCAGTTATCAGTCGCTTCCAAAAAGGATCGTTTTCTTCATGTTTAATGAGCATGTTGCAGATGTTTATACGCGCCATCAAATGAACTTGAGTTCATGCGGAACCCAAATAGCAAGTTTGCTTACGTATCCCAGCTTCTTCAGGGGATCATGAACACTTGAATGATGGATGGTCAATGTTTCTGCAATCTCTCATGTCGTGTAACATGGGTTTGACTTGATTAATGCCTTTATTTTGTCGTCATCAACCTCGGTGGGCCTTACTGACCGAGAAGCATCGTTGAGATCAAAATCACCAGCACAGAATTTCATGAACCATTGTTGGCACTGACGTTCTTGTAGAGCATTGTCACCATAAACTTTATGCAACTTTTCACAAGCTTGATGCGTGTTCTTCCCTTTATAGAAGTAAAACAGTAAAATATGGCAAAAATGCCCAGTTTGGTCTTCCATCTTCAACTTGTTGCCAAATCTCCAAAACTCAACCAAATCACTCAATTTTTTTTAGAATGAAGCTAGAACTGTCAGCTGTCAAATGACATAGCGATAACATAGATGCGAATGACTCTAGTACTTCCAAAAATGAACGAGTGTCATCTGTCGCAAACACGCATCATGACTTTTCCAACAACCCAACAGATATGTAAAATGGTATTTTTGTAACAAGCCAGATTATCAGAACTAAGTTGTTGGACTGCATTGTTTTGGGTCCTTTGTGTTATACCAAAAGCTTACATTGAGGGATGTTAAAAGCAACAGCCACACAAAACTTGCCACTACATTTACTACTGGGATGATATAATACTAATTCATCTGAAGATATAATTGAAGATCTACTTGTTGAAAATATAATTTATTCTTTACTTTACATAGGGTCACCTTTAGAGGGCTCTATTAATTAAGATACTCATACAAGATACTTTGAAAATCTTTGCTTCTCATAAAAACAAGAAAAAAACAAAAGCAAAATAAACACATAAAACAGTCTGCTCTTGTTTTATAAACACCACGACTCTTATAACATGCTTTGACTTTTGTTGTTCAAAAAATGAAAGTAAAATTTGTGGCCCAACTCAAGCAATTAGATAGAACTTGATATATTTTATATATGGACAATAATGACTAACATATTTTTCAATTACAAAGTAAAACACACTCATTGTAGGGGGACAAAAGGATAAATGAGAAGAAATTAGAAACTCTCCAGAACCCTATGGTGCAAAATAATTACTGCTGAAATATAGCCTTCTAATTCTATGCAAATGTACACATGTGCAAACACTTTATAAAATGGATCTCACAGTACCTGTTATACTGATAACTATCTACAATTAAATTTTCTCAATCTTTTTGTATCATTACATATTATATTTTAATATTATAAATAACATGTTAAAATACCTAGATGAATTATTATTTATTTAATCATTACCCAATTTCTGGGCATTTAGATTGTCACCAATTTTGAGCTTTAACATGTTAATAATGATCAGCTTTATAAATAAGCCTTTGTGTATATCCTTGGTTATTTCCTTAAGATTAATTTCCAGAAAAGTTATTGTGGAGTCAGAAGACAGGCACTCTTAGACAACATATATATTCTACCAAACTGCTCAAAAGAAAAGTTGTACCACCACAAGAAAAATATTTGTAATTATGTATAGTGATGAACCTTAACTAAACTTATTGTGGTAATTATTTCACTATATATATATATATATATATATATATATATATATATATATATATATCACATCATTATGTTGTATATCTAAAACTAATACAATTAATGTCAATTTTATCTCAACTATTAAAATGTTAATTTTTAAAAAGTTGTACCACTTTACTCTTTTACTCCTCATTTATGAGGTTTCCAATTCTCCACATCCTTAATACCAATGAAAATTAAAACTTATAATAGGTTTTTACAAATTTAATAGGCAAATTTCATTATGTATTAAGAATATTAGCCAATTGTCTATAACATGTTCCAAATTTTCATCCCTTTTACCATTTCATTGTCTTGATATCTCTTCTGGACACAGAGTATATTTTAATTTGTACTGAGTCATACTCAAAAAAGCCACTTTATTTGTTGAATCTTTTTTTTTTTTTTTTAAGATTTTTTTATTGGGGAATTGGGGGATGGGAACAGGCAAGCTGCTGTCCTTTTGTTCTTCAGTCTAGTTGTGGAGGATGTTGTTTCACTAGCCCAAGTTGGCACCATCATCGCGCTCTTCCTGGGTGAGGCAGATCAGTTGCCGGCTTCTGGATGGCCGCTAACGGTGGCTGCTGGCCGCTCATGCTGGCTGCTGGCTACACACGGTAGCCCATGGCAACCCACTGCAGCAGGGGCTGCAGCCCACGCCGTCATCAGCGACTCAAGGCAGCCCAGCTCCAGGTTGAGCTGTTGTTCAGCATCTTAGCTGTGGAGGGCAGTGTCACTGGGCCTCATATGTGGGATCCGAACTGGGACCCTCTGGCGTCCCAAGTCAGCTCTTAACCACCGCGTCACTCGGCCAGCCTGATTGAATCTTTTTATCATTGTTCTTTTCCTCAGTTTAAAAATCCAATTGCATTACCTATAAGCTTCCTTAAAATTGAGTTTTTGGACTAACCATTTAATTATAAATATTCATTAATAATAAGTGTTCATTAATTCAACAAATTTCATTGGTCCAATATAAAGGACCATATCAGATGGCCAAAAACTTAAAGATATACAAAATGCTTCCAGAGTTTGTGTTGCATTATACTCCTTTTGTGTGTCCTTCTTAATAAATGCCTACATCAATTAATATTCTTCTTTTTATTCAACAAGTATTTGAATGCCTATTATAACTTTCAGTTTATAAAACTCTCACACAGCCATTATATTATTTAATATCCCCAAGGATGTTATAAAGAATCAAGGCCAGTGTTAATTTAAAAACAGGGCAAATAGTCCCAAAGAAGGTAAAAGCAATATTCAGATTAATTCTTCTGCTGCTGGACACTTAGTGCCTCCTCACAATTTTTCATTCTATTACATAAAACCAGGTGTATAGTGAAATAAATGGACTTTTTAAAATGCTATGACTAAACAAAAATGTAAGGTACTACTGAGGGAAAAGTAGTAGAAATGGGGAAATATTTCCTCCTCCTGCCTACCGCACTGTATCTTTCCCAGACCAGTCTACGTAATTAATAAATGAATTTTAGTGACTAATTATTTTGCAGGTTGATGGCTAAACATAACCTTTGTCTTTGTGCCAAGGGGTTTTACTGCTAAATGTCTGATAAGGATAACCAAGCACAGATATATCAGTTTGCTGTGTATGTGTGAAACATTGTCCTACTGACGTGAGATCAAGTCTTTTGGACCAGTTGAAAAAAAGCCTTTAAGACACTGAAATCATGGACACTTTAACTGAATTCATGTTGAAAGTGTTAGTAATAAAGAATATGGAAATGACCCTCTCTATATTGTAGCGGACTATGCTTTCTCCAGGAATAGAGTGCAGTGTAACTGTGAAGTTTATGATCTCCTTACCTGATTTCAGGTGTAACAATCTCTGCTGCCAGGCTATCTGAAGATTCCTGACTTCCCAGAGGCATTAACCCTATAAATATATAAACATGAATGCACAGTTAAGAGAGAGCACAACTGTTTCCTTTAGTTTTTGGGGGTTTTTTTAGCTGAGCCATCCTGCCACCTGTTGGCAGCTCAGTGGCAGCTCAGCTGGGGCCAGGATTCGAACCGCTGTTGCTCAGAGCTTGCACTCTTGAGCGAGCTCTTAACCAACTGAGCCACTCGGCCGGCCCTTATTTCCTTTAGTTTCTATGTGATCCTACTTTGAGCAACAGTTTTAACACCTATAATCTTTGTCTTAGTCAAGTAAAAGACCATGTCACAGTTATCTTACATTATTATTATATTATATCACAATTTTTAAGTGTGCAACTGAGTGGCATTAAGTACATTCACTATGTGTGGAACCATCACCACTATCTATTTCTAAACCTCATCACCCAAAACATAAATTATGTAACCATTAAGCAATAACTCCCTAATCCTTTTTCCCTTAGCCCCTCATAAACTTTTACTTTCTGTCTCAATAAAGATGCCCATTCTAGATACCCCATGTAAGTGGAATCATACCAGTTGTCTTTTTGTGTATGGTTTATTTCACTTAACATAATGTTTTGAAAATTCATCCATGCAGCATTTATCAGAAATCTTTCATTTTAATGGATGAATAATATTCCATTTTATGTATACACCGCATTTTCTTTTTCCATTCATCTGTTGATGAACATGTGGGTTGTTTTTATCTTTTGGCTATTGCCGATAATGCAACTATGAACATTATTATACCTGTATCTGTCTGAGTCCTTCTTTGATTTCTTTTGGGCATATACTTAGGAAAGGAATTGCTGGATTATACAGTAATTTTATGTTTAACTTTGTGAAGAACCATCAAATTCTCCCACCGTGGTATGAGGGTTCCAATTTCTCCACATCCTTACCAACACTCGTTATTTTCCTGTTTTTCTTTTTTGGTTAAAGCCAGCCTAATGGGTATAAACTGGTATCTCATTGTGGTTTTGATTTACATTTTTCTAATGACTATTGATGTTGAGCATTTATTCACGTGCTTATTGGCCATTTGTATATCTTCTTTGGAGAAATGTCTAGTCAAGACTTATGGTCATTTGTTAACGTAGTTGTTTTTCATTGTTGAGTTGTAAAAGTTTTTTATATACTCTGGATATCAATTACTTGATATCATGATTTGAAAATATCTTCTTCCATTTTGTAGGCTGATTTTTCACTCTGTTGATAGTGTCCTTTGATGCATAAAAGTTTTTAATTTTGATGAATTCCAATTTATCTATTTTTTCTTTTGTGCTTTTGGTTTCAATTCCAAGGAATCACTGGCAATTCAAATGTCATGATGATTTTCCTTTATGCTTTCTTCTAAAAGTTTTATAGTTTTACCCCTTACATTTAGGTCGTTGACCCATTTTGAGTTCATTTGATATATGGTATGAGGGCTCAACTTCATGCTTTTGGGTGTGGATAACCAGTTTTCCCAGAACAATTTGTTGAAAAGATTTTCCTTTCCCCCAGTGAATAATGTTGACACTCTTGATGAAAAATCAATTGGCCACATATGTGAAAATTTCTGGGCATTCTTTTTTATTCCATTGGTCTATATGCCTGTCCTTAAGCTGACAGCACACTGTTTTGATTACTAACTTTATATTCAAGTTTTGATATCAGGAAGTGTGAGCCCTCCTAATTTTTTCTTTTTTTTTCCTCAAGATTGTTTTGGCTATTTGAGGTTCCTTGAGAGTCAAGACGAATTTCAGGATGGGTTTTCTGTTTCTGCAAAAAATGCTGTTGGTATTTTAATAAGGATTGCACTGAATCGTAGACTGCATACTGTAGTATTGTCATCCTAACAATATCAAGTCTTAAATGAACAAGGATATATTTTCCTGTGAGAAGAGCACTTTCTACTTTGGATAAAAGTCCCTAAATGGATTGCTACCTACCCCACATCTCAGTTGAAAGAAAAAAATCACTGATTTAGAAAGTTTTGATATTCTTTTAAAAAGGTTACAAGAAACTTTCCAGGATAAAAATTTCCAGGTTTATTATTAAGACAGATGATTTCACAAATGTTTATACTTTTGACCTAATAAAACCAAATATTTAAATATAATTACAATATAAATAGCCAAGTAAATTTTTTAAGTCCCATAACTATAGACTATTTACCATAATATCTGAATAACAGTTTAAAATTTATATCAATTTCATGGCCTCCACTGATTTTTCAATTTCATGTATTGGTGCAATCATCTTAAAATGAATCTAATATTTTTACTGATACTATTAGAAATAAATAACCTTGCTTGGGACGCTGAAATGTTTTTACCTTGAGTTGTGAGCTGCCCTTCTTGAGCCTGCACACAACGAAGCTCTTCAATGGTCTCCTTCAGAGAATCCCTTTCTGTTCTTAACCGCTGCAGGACATTAAAAACAGGGAAAGTTAGCTTCAAGTTTTATGAGTTTATTCACCAGTGATCTTTGCCTTATCTAATAAAATGATAAATAGAATGGAACATGGACATGTTTTGATCTTCTATAGAAAGATCAGAGAAGGAAAACATTAAAATAATTTTTCCCATTTAACAATACTGAATATATACTATAAGCAAGGCAATATGCTATCCACAGCTAAACATAAGAAACAAAACTGTCTATTCCATCCTTAACAATAAGTACCTTATTATGTATATAACAGGCTTTTCATTAAACATAAAAAAATCAAACAAAGAATTTAAATATTCAAAATCATAACAAAGAAAGTATTTTTAAGAGATTCAAAATAATGCTGAACAAAAAGAATTGTGTATTGTATAATAATCATACAGAAAACAAAAAAGCTACATAAATTTACAGAAGGTCATGAGCAGAACAATGTAAAAGAAGCAACAGAAGTAGAAAAGTAAATACACGAGGTGTGATTGAAAAATATCATGACGGTTTAAATTTCAAAAAATTATTACAGTAAAAGACACATTGCCATTAATCTCCCTCAAAATACTCTCCCTCGCTTCAAACACATTTATTCCATCATTCTTGCTAATTTCTGAAGCAGTTGTGGAAGTCCTCTTTCGTGAGTGTCTTTACTTCATCATACATCATGACAACACTCTGTGTCACACATCCCTTGTGGTATACGCCAATTTTTGTCAAATAACACTGGTGTGTCTTCATCCACCTTATTTACCAAATCTGGCACCGTGCAACTTCTGGCTATTCCTCAGAGTCAAAACGACCATTACAGAAAAAACGTTTTGAATCGATTCAGGACATCCAAGCAGTCATGACAGCGCCAACTAAAGACACTCATGGAAGAGGACTTCCACAACTGCTTCAGAAAGTGGCAAGAACAATGGGATAAGTGTGTTCGAAGTGAGGGGGAGTATTTTGAGGGGAATTGATGGCAATTTGTCTTTTACTGTAATAATTTTTTTAATTTATACAGTCACCATATTTTTCTATCACACCTCGTATATAAAAGAAATTAGAATGGAAGTAAAAACATTCTTTTAATCTGTTATTTTAGATCTATTTCTGAAGCACAAATGTAAATCTTAAATTTAAAAATAAACAGGATCTCTAGTTTTTAAATTTATAAATAGAAGGAATTAATGTAGTCAAAACATAAATATCATTGTCTTAATTTTAGCAGTGCTCACAACCAAAGAGCCTTATACTCACATCCTTTTCTTTTTGAAGACTGTCAACTTTTTCTTTTAGCCGCTTATATTCAAAATCTAATTTATCTGCTTTCTTCGATTCTTCAGATAATCTATTTTGCAATTCTACTACCTGATACAGAAAGGTACCATTAATTTTTACAATTTGAAACATTAGAAATTGTCACTATTTTCTTCTACAGATCTATGAAAACTCCCTTCCCCACAAATATTTTAAAAAAAAAAGTACATTATACAGCAACCTAACTTAACGAAGAAAACTAGGAACAAAATTCTGCTACTATTGGTTTTAAAGCCAGATCATCCAGAATAACAATGCTCAAAATTATGAAAAAACATAATGGGATTTCCATTTCCTGTAACACGGTTAACTGGGTAGTCTGATATCCTTTTAGCATAAAGCAAAATAAATGCTACAGGGAAAAAAAATCCAAATGCACAGGTAAGCTTACAACAAAGTGAAATCCTCACAGGCTAAAACTTGAAGGGAAAGTACGTGCGGAAGCCATGAAGGACCTATTTCCCACACCAGGAACCCAGAGCTTTGAATTTAATGGGAGGCAGGTGGTTATTAAACTACCTTAGGGCTCTAAAAGGTAATGAGTCAGTAAACAGACAGGTTCAGAAAAACACTCCATCAACTGGAAAAATTAATAAAGAAATTTGTCTGTCTTAAAATGAGTACTCTGGGTTTAAAAAAGTGTAACTTAAAAATTTGTAACTATGACCTGCTAATACATGGATTTGTGTTTAAAATTATACTACATCCCTTGTCTGGCAAATCCTAAGCCAACCAATTAATTTAAAATAGTCATGGTTGATAATGATAAGCAAAACACACTGTCTGGAGGACTACCACCTCAAACTCAAACCCCCTTGTATTTCCATAAAGATAAAGATGAGCCAAATGAAACAGCAAAGGGCAAAAGAAGTAAGTCATTATGAACGACAATCAGCAGAAAAATTTAACAACAATAACAAGAGTAGAACAGGACTTCCAAGGATTTCAGATTGGAATTATCAGATAAAAAACACAGGTATAATATTTAAAGATAAATAAAGATGGAAATCTAAATTATAAAAAGAGTAAGAAACCATAAAAAATGATCAAGTAGGTTTGAAAGTGCACCCAAAGAGAACTTGTAGAAAGAAAATATTCTCATTGAAAAATAAAAGTATATTAAGCCCCAGATCAGAAACAGACAGAATTAATGTACGATGCAATTTCACTACACTATTTCTAGGTGTAGATTTCTTTTTATTTACATTGCATATAATTGACACTAAATCTAATATTCTTTATTAGTTCTGAAAAATCTTCAGCCATCCTTTCTTTCAAATGTCTTCCTACAATTTGTTCTCTCCTCTGGATTCTAATTGGATCATTTCTCATTTTAATTTGATACTTTTAAATCTAATTTATAATTTCTTTCATCTGCATTTATTTTGGGTAATTTCCAGGTCATATTCAAGTTCGCTAATTTTATCAACTTTGTTGTATGTTGAAAATTTCATAACAAAATGTTGGGAAAAAATGTTTCCACCAAAAGAAAACAAAAACCTGCCAGCTATTCATGGTATACAGAGATGTTCCACTAAACTTCTCCAACTCATTTTATTAAGCTAGTATAATTCTGATACTCCAATCAGATAACGAAAGTATGAAACAGAAAAAAAACTTCAAGTGAATCATAGAGGCAAAATATTCTAAGTAAAATGAAAAAAGTAAATGTAACAATGTATAAACAATAAGTAAATCCACTATGACCAAACTAAGTTTAACTCTGGAATGCAAGGATGGTTAAAGCATAGAAAATCCACTAATATAATTCATCACATTAATAGAAAGGCGAAGCAGCATAGGAGTCTCTTAATAGGTGCAGGAAATGTAGTTGATCAAATTCAACATCTTTTTAAGATGGGCACCCAGAGCAAATTAGAAATACAATAGAACTTCTTTATACTAGTAAAAGGTGGCTACAAAAATAAATCCTATAGCAATGTTTATATTGGTAAAACATTTAAAGCATTCTGTATTAAAAAAAAAATGGTTGCCTACTATCATTGCTTCTATCCAAAGTTGTATGAAAGGTCAGACATGCTGATTAAGAAGAAAAACAGTATAGAGTAGAAAAGAAAAAAACGAAATGCTTTTATTTGTATACTATATCACTTCTGCCAAGAGACCCAACAAATATTATTAAAAGTAATATGAGAATTTGGCAAAGTTGCAAAATCAATGTATAAATATCTATTTCATTCATATAAATGAGCAATAAACTGAAAATGGTATCCTTTCTTTTGCTAATTGCATTTACAAAACCCAAACACATAAAGTACCAAGAGTAAATATAACAAAATATGTGTACAATATTTAGAAGAAAATTATAAAACTTAACTGAAAGACATTTAAGACCTAAATAAAAAGATATTATATGCACTGAAAGTTATTGTCATAAAGATTTCAATTATCCTCGAATCAATCAACAATTCAATGTAATTCCAATTCCCAAAGGTTTTGAGTATAAAGGGAAAGAAAAGGTCTAAGAATAGACAATTTTGAAAAAGAACAAGGTGTGGGTATCTGCACTACTAAAAATTTATAGATAGTAAGACAGTGAGGTATTGGTGTAAGAATAGACAAATAGGACAATGAAACAGAAGAGTGCCCCAATGCAAACTAACATATAACATGGAAACTTCAGATATATGATAAGGTAGAATTGCAGGCCATTATGGAAGATACTATTAAATGAATGTTACTAGGTTGACTGGTTGTCTTTGCACTCTATACAAAAATCAATTCCATGTGGCTTAAAGGCCTACATGTGCAAAACAAACTTTAAATCTTTGTTAAGAAATTAGAGACTAGTCTTACATCCTTATGTAGGAAATGATTTCTTAAACAAGACATAAAACACAAATCACAGAAAAATCAAAGAAAAAGATTCTTAAAGTTCATTACATTAAAATTATCAATCTCAAAAAAAGTAAAAGGACAGGTAACAGACTGGTGGGAAATAATTGCAACATGTACAAGTGACAAAAGATTAATATCAAGAACATATAAAGAACTTTCAGAAATCAATAAGAAAAATAAATATCCCAAAAGATAAAATAGGCAATTAACAAAAGAAATGTGATCAGTAAATATATTTGTAATTAGGGTAATACAAAGTATAATCATAAGGAGACATCATTTCATGTCTATCCAATTGGCAAAATTTCAAGTACTATGTGTTGGTGATGATATGGAACAACAGGAATTCATGCAAACTTCTTGCTGGTAATACAGTCTCATTTTGGAGAACAACTGGGCAATATCTAATTAAACAAACATAATCTAAGGAAGAAACTCCATATAGTTGTAAAACTTTCACATGTATAAAAGAAGCAATGTTCAATACTATTCATAGAAGCATTTCCTGTAATATTAAAACAAGTTGAAACATCTTACATGTCCTTCAACAGAAAAACTGACAAATTGTAGTATAGTCACTCAAAAGAATGGATACTATAAAGCAGCACAAATGAAATAAAGCTATGCCTATCAACATAAAACAAATCTGACAAATATACTACTGAGCAAAAGTAGATTGCAGTAGAATGCTTTCATTTTATAATTTATATAGTTTCAAAACATGTCAAAATGTAAATTTTACACACAAATATATATACATATACGGATATATATATACATATATATCTATATGCAGCAAGAGAATAAAGAGATGCATAAGGATGAAAACCACAAAAAAGCATACTTGCTACTATAATGAGGAGAAAAAAAATGTTTTATTTTTTAAGCATGGATACTTACTGTTTTATTCTTTTACTTTTTGTGCATTTCTTAAGTAGTACATAATAAATTAAAAAATAAAAAGTAATAAAAGGATCAGCTACAGAGAACAATCAATAAGCTCTGGATAAGAACTAAGTTTCATAGGTAAAATTCAGAATACCATGAAAACAAAAGTCAGTAAGCAGATTTTTGACAAACCTTATTGTTATAATGGAGAACCTGCTTGAAAATATCATTAGGAAACTTTGTTACTATTCTTTTACCTGTCTCTTATATGTCTCAAGTTGACTTCGAGCCGCATTGGCTTTTCTTAACTCTTCCTCTAGACTGACAGTGTTCTGCATATACATAGTGTTCTTCTCTTCTAAGAGTTTAACCTGCCGCCTCAAATCACCAAGATCTTCTAGCTTCTTTTTATATGATTCCACTTGGCCTTCTAGTTTAGACACTTTATCAGAAGAATGTCTAGAATGAGATGGGAAATCAGAAATCAAACACATCCACAGTTATAAAGCTGTTTTAGTGCTAAACCAAGAGGGACTGCCAGGAAATAACACATTCTAATGAAATTATAGACCAAAAGTGATTCCAGGTTAATTTTTTACTCAGGTTAAAAAATATGATCAAATTACAGCAAAAATTGTCATGGAGAACGTTACATAATTTAAGGAAAGCTGCGGGGTGGGGTCGGGGAGGAGGAGTCCCAGCAGAGTCCCATGTAGTACAAAAGCAAAATAAATTGTGCAGTGTTCAAATGATTTGGTAGTTATAATGTTATTGGTACCCATAGGAACAGCTGTTTCAGTGGAGCAGTGAGAGCAGTTAGCGGCACATTTTAGGGGTTAAGGAGAAAACATAAGTTTTACCCTGTATAATCTAAATTAGTTCTGGAGAGTAGAGAGTGATAAATTTCTCTCTTTTTCTAAGATGAGACAGAACTAAACATAAATATATACTAAGGAGGAAGAATGCAAAAAGAAATGATAACTGAGGTAACAGTCTCTGTGAAAGCAAGAAGCCTTGAGATCCAGAGCACTGAACAAGAAATTAGCACTGGACAGTAGGAAGAATAACAAGTCTACACTCTAGAAGCGAAAAAGAAAAGATTAGTGGTGCAGAGAAGTTAGGAGGTGCAGGAGACATGGGACATGGAGGGTTCCACAGTTCGTGGCCTCTTTCCTGTATGCAGCTGGAGACAATGCCATCTACTGAGACTAAAGCATGGGAGAGGTGGGGTGGGATGGGCATGCAAGTGAGAAGAGTTATGAAAATATGTAACAGATATGAGAGAAATGGGAGACAGAGCTATCTACTGATGAGCAATAGAATGGTGGACCAGTGATAAGAACCCAGTGAAGAGCAAAGATCATTAATTTGGAGTAGGACAGAACTATATCACAATGTGATCTCTCTATTCGTTCTCAGTATTCAAAGAGCAAAGTGTAAAATACAGATGGTTGGAATGATCCAACAGAGAATAGACTGTACAAGTGGAAAGGTGGGAAAATGAGGTGCAGAGAGTGAGATGCCTAGTGAGAGAATAGTTGAGGTGAAGATAAAAAGGTCTAGTAAGGAAATGCAGCCTTGTGGGGTGTGACAGTATCTGAGAAAAAGGAAGACCAAGTTGACTTGGAGGACTCAAAATTAAAGAAAAGGAGTAGTAATCAGAAAAACTCCAGAGCTATACAAGTATGAAATGATGGTCAGAGATTAATTTCTATATGACAGACATTTATGTAGTACTTATTTTCCAGATAACTGTTCCAAGTGTTTACAAATATTAACTCGCTTAATTCCACATATAAATCTGAGGTAGGTATGTGTATTCTTTCCATTTTACAGATGAGAAAATTATTACATACAGGTTAAATAAATGGTAGCACTGAGATCTAAACTCAGGTGGGCTGGCTCTTAAACACCCTGCTATACTCAGAAATCCTAGAGTTTGTAACATTGGTGGTAGAACTGTTCTGGGTGACAACAGGTCTGAGATTCTACAGAGATGGGAAGAATGTTTACCTAAGAACATCTATTTCATCTTTTAGAGACTGAGCGTCATCTGCCAAAGTGGTTAGTTCATCATTCTGTTGCCGAAGTTCAGAGATTTCCTTTTCTAACTCTTCACAGCGTATTCGATAATCATCTTTGGCTGCTTCTAGTCTGTAACCAAAACAAAATAAACCAAGAAAGTACTATTTACTGTCTAGTAATTCTCCTTAGAACAGTAATAGGAAATAAAAAGCATGAGAATGAACTCTTCTTGAGTTTGTGTCCTACTTTTGTGACCATAAACTATAATTCTAAGTTTTAGCTATCCTAAAAATGGATTCCAATGTTACAAGGCTTGTGGAAAGGTAACAATTACCATTCCTCTATTCAGAAAGTTAGACATCAAGTAATTTGTAAAAATACAGCAGATTTAATTTATTTAAAAATTTTAGTGTTAATTATGAAACTTATATTCCTTGTTGAAAATTTACAAAATACAAAAAAGCTAAAAAGCTAAAAATCATGTATTAATTTAAATAAATAACTACTATTAACATTTTTGGAATAGATCCTTCAGTCTGATTTCTATTCATAGGTCTTTTTCCCCCAAAATAAGGATAATATTGTTTTTACTTCTTATTAATTTGTTTTGCTTAACATAAATCCTTCCTTTAGATTTATAAGATTCTTTTGTCTCTCATGTCACAAATATTTATCATTGATTATTTACCTTTAATATTAAGTATTTAATGTACATAAATTCTTAGTTTTTATGTAACTCAATTGATGAATCTTACACTATACAGTTTTCACATTTAGTACATGATTAGAAAGGTTTTTTTTCTTTTAGTCTTACATTTTGGTTAGTATTATATTATACAGTTTCATTTTTAATATTAAAGTTCTCAATTTCCATGGAATTCATTTTGGTATATAATGTAAAGTAGGAATCTAACTTTTCCTGCCAAAATATCTGCCGACTATCCCTAAACCATTTAACAAATGATTTAACCTTTCTCTATTGATTAGAAAAATGCCACCTTTATAATATTACACATTTTTATATGCACTTGGATGGGTTTCTGGATCTTAATTTGTATCACTGGTCTGTCTATAATTTGCTGCATCAGTACCAAGTTATTTTAGTTAGCATAGACTTATAACATCTTTCAACACTGGCTATGGCAAGTACTCCCTCATTATACTTGGTTCTCAAAATATTATGGGAATCTCTTATTCATTAACACTTCTAGATGAACATAAAATTAGAATTGGAATCAATTTCAAATTATATGATAATTTAAGAAAAAATGGCATTCTTACAAAACTCCATGAACAACTTGTAAACATATATTATCTCTTCACATATATTAAAATATGTTTAATGTATAACTTAGAAGTTTTCGTCATAGAAATCCTTAATATTACAGTGGTCCCCAGTTATCCATGGGGGATATGTTCCAAGACCTTTAGTGGATGCCTGAAACCGTATAGTACCAAATCCTATATATACTATGTTTTTTTCCTACACATATGTAACTTTTCACTTAAAGGAAGCACTTTACAGCTTTTCTTTGGCATATCCGAATTGCCAACATCACTACTGTTGCAGTTTGGGGCCATTATTAACTAAAATATGGGTTACCTGAACACAAACACTGTGGCATTGCAAAAGTTGACCTGGTAACTTAGACGGCTACTATGTGACTAATGGGTGGGCGGTACATACAGGGTGGATACACTGGAGAAAAAGATGATTCATGTCCCAGGTGGGATGGCATGAGATTTCATCACACTACTCAGAGTGTAATTTAAAAGTTATGAATTGCTTATTTTTAGAATTTTCCATTTAATTTTTTTGACCACAGTTGACTGTGGGTAACTGAAACCACAGAAAGTGAAACTGCAGATAAGGAGGACTACTGTACTTTTAGTATTTTTTAAGGTACTTATATACTCATAAATGGAAGTTCTTCCTGGTGATACTAGCTATTGGTAGAAAAGCTCATGATATACCGTATTTCCCCATGTATAAGATGCACCCTTTTTTAAAAAATTTGGGGTCTAAAAACTGGGTGCATCTTATTACAGTGGTTGTAGTTTTTTAACTTGTATTTCCTACTTTTTTCACGCTTGTTTTTTTCCCCCACTCATACAACCACTGTATAAGATGCACCCAGTTTTTAGACCCCAAATTTTTCGAAAAAGGGTGTGTCTTATACATGGGGAAATACGGTATGCAAAGTCTTAGTTACACTCTCCTTGTTAAATGTTTATTGGTTCTAAAAACTTTTCATTTGATTCTCTTATATGTTTTATGTAGACAAACATTATTTAGAAACTTTTCTTTCTAATATTTTTACCTCATTTCTTTTTCTTATTTCATTTTCTAGAAAAGTAGTAACAGCTAAATCTTATATGGCATCTATATACCAGGTAATATTCTCAGTATTTTACATATTTAATATTTAGTTCATTTAATACTCATTTAAAATTCTAGAAGGTAGGTAATACTACTGGACCCTATTATAGTGGAGGAAACGGAGGCATGCCCAAGTGTACACAGCTAAAAAGTGGCAAAGCCAGAATTTTTTTAAATGTCTAGAAAAAAGTCAAATAATACATTAAAGGTCATCCTCATCATATTATATCTGACTATAAGGTATAATAAAAATTACTAAGATATATAAATGTATAGTATTGATAAAACATTTGAATTGTTAAAGTACTTCAAAATATAATACTGTAATATGTATTGTGGAAATATTTCATTTATAATTAAAATGTAAGACAATTCAAAATACCACTTTTCCAAAACCATACTTTAAAAACTAGTCACAATTTAGAGACTTCTGTTCAAGATGGTGGCACCAGAAGAAACTGAACACACACCCTCCCATAAACACATTGAATTTACACCTACAGACAAAGCAATTACCCCTGAAGAAGAACTGGGGCAAATGAACAGCTTCTACACAACAAATGAGAGTGAGAGGCCACACAGAAACAGGTAGGCGAGATGCAGACACGCTACCACGGGAGCACCGCGCAACACACCAACCTGCAGGAGGGAGGGGTCACTGACTCTCCTGCCCTGGGGCTCAGGGAAAAACAGTAGTTTAAAGGACACTTAGACTATAAGGAAAGGAAATCCATTTATCAACCCTAGATCATCTGCCAAATGGAAGGGAAGCTGTGGAAACTCTCTTCCGTTGTTGGAGGTGCCAAGGAGCACTACTGGTGCTCCCCTTCCACCTTGCTTTCATAGGAAGGAGCATGATTCAGGCACTCTAGCCAGCAGGCCAAGTCTCTCAGCGTGTGTAGCAGACCCAAAGCCCACACCAGCTCCTCCACTTGCCCCCAGGACTCCCCATGGCTGTACCTTCTCCAGCTACAGCTTTGGGTACCAGCTTAGCTTGTCCTTCAAGCTCCCCTCAGCCCCATGCCCACTCCAACTGCAGTCCTGGGCCACCACATGGCTTGGCTGTCCCAACAGCCTGCTCCAGCTCCAGATTCCAGCAGGTCTGTCAAAGCATCTCTACAGTGGCTTGCCCTGGGGCACGTCACAGCTGGAACCTGTTCTGGCTAAAACTGCCAGCCTGGTGTGGCTAATCCCCAGGATATCCTGCAGATCACGCCACTTTAGCTACAGCTGTAAGCACTGGTATGGCTTGCCCCCAGGATTCCTCTTGGTCTGAGCCCTTTCCAACTACAGCTACAACTAGCCTGCCAAGGAAGCTCCAGTGTGGACTGCCCCTGGGCCTTCCCACGGCCTGTACCTACCACAACTACAGCTCTGCAGAGCCTGCCAAGGTGGCACCAGTGCAGCTTTACCCCACACTACCTATGACCTTAGCCGGCTCCAGCTACAGCCACTGCTGGCCCACCACGGCAGTTGCAGCAACTCTCCACAGCCCACTCCAGCTCCGGCTAGCCTGCCTAGGTAGCCCTGGTGAGGTCTCCCTGCGGCCTATGCCCACTTCAGCTCCAGCTGGCCTGCCAAAGGCATCCAGCACACAGTCTACAAAAGGGAAGCCCCTACACAAGGCCACTCCTTCAAGACCAGGAAAGGCTGCTATTTTGCTAATTCATCAAAACAAACACAGAGAGACTGCCAAAATGAGGAAACACAGAAATGTCTTCTAAAGAAAGAAAAGGATAAAACCCAGAAAAATAAATAAATAAAACAAAGACAAGTAATCTATAGGATAAAGAGTTCAAAACACTGATTATAAAACGGTGTTCACTGAACTCGGGAGAGGAAAAGATGAACTCAGTGAGAACTTCAACAAAGAGATAGAAAACATAAAAAAGAACAATCAGAATTGAATACAGTAACTGTAATGAAAAATACACTAGGGGAATCAACAGCAGATTAGATGATGCAGAAGAACCAGTCAGGGAGCTGAAAGACAAGGTAGTCGAAATCACCCAATTAGAACAGCAAAGAGGAAAAAAAAAAAGATATTTTAAAGGACCTCTGGGACAACATCAAGCATACCAATATTAGAATCATAGGAGTCCAAGAAGAAGAGAGACAGAAAACCTATTTAAAGAAATAATAGCTGAAAACTTCCCCATCTTTGTGAACAGACATCCAAGTCTAAGAAGCAGAATCCCAAACAAGATGAACCCACAGAGGCTCATACCAAGACACATCATAATTAAAATGCTAGAAGTTCAAGATAAAGAGAATCTTAAAAGCAGCAGGAGAAAAGCAGTTAGTTATATACAAGAGATCCCCCAAAAGACTATGAACTGATTTTTCAACAGAAACTTTGCAGGACAGAAGGGACTAGCATAATTTATTCAATGTGATAAAAAGAGAAAAACCTATAGCCAAGAATACTCTGCGCAACAAAGTTATTCACAATTGAAGAAGAAATAGTTTCCCAAACAAGCAAAAGCTAAAGGAGTTCATCACCACTAAACCCAAATTACAAGAAATGTTAAAGGGACTTCTTTAAATGGGAAAGAAAAGGCCATAACTAAAAATAAGAACATATAGGAAAGGAAAAATCTCACTAATAAAGGCAAATTTAAATACAGTGGATCAACCAATTACCAAGCTAGTATGAATGAAGGTTAAAAGACAAAACTAGTAAGAGGATGTGTAAATATAGTAATAAATTAAGAAACATACACAAGATAAATTGTTATGTATGTCAAAA